CTCTGGAAAACAGTGTGGAGGTTCCTCAAAAAATTAAAAATAGATCTACCCTATGACCCAGCAATAGCATTGCTAGGAATTTATCCAAAGGATACAAGAGTGCTGATTCATAGTGGTACATGTACCCCAATGTTTATAGCCACACTTTCAACAGTAGCCAAATTATGGAAAGAGCCTAAATGTTCATCAACTAATGAATGGATAAAGAAGATGTAGTTTATACATACAATGGAATACTACTTGTCAATGAGAAAGAATGACATCATGCCATTTGCAGCAACGTGGATGAAACTGGAAGGTATTATGCTAAGTCAGTCAGAGAAAGACATATATGTTTTCACTCATATGTGGAACTTGAGAAACTTAAGGGGGAAGGGAAGGGGGAAAAAGAGTTACAAATAGGGAGGAAGGGAGGCAAAACATAAGAGACTCTTAAATACAGAGAACAAAGTGAGGACTGACTGGGGGGTGGGGGAGAGGGGAAAATAGGTGACGGGCATGGAGGACGGCACTTGTTGGGATGAGCACTGGGTGTTGTATGTAAGCGATGAACCATGGGAATCTACCCCCAAAACCAAGAACATATTGTACTCACTGTGTGTTAGCCAATTTGATAATAAATCGCATTAAAAAAAAAAAAAAAAAAAAAAAAAAAAAAAAAAAAAAAAAAAAAAAAAAAAGGAAGAGGTGGGATGTATCAAATGGGAGAGTGCTTGCCCTATCTCAAGGAAGCAGCTGCCACTTGCCCGGAAGTTTCTGCCTCACCAGATCTGATTTTTACAGGAAGCCAGATATCTGGATCCTTAAGAGAGGCATACTGGTTTTAAATATTAACAACTAACGCAGATTTGAAACAATAACATATGTGCCCCCAAGAAAACTACCTGGAGGCTGTATTCCACCAGCAACCACCATTAGTAGTCTCTGTTCTCGATTTGGATTATTCTAATAAAAAAATGTTGACCATATTTTCCTATATTCCATATAAAAACTAACATCATTCTTTAATTCAAGTAAACACTTGTTGGCTAACTTCTCTGATCAATAGCCTATTGTTAGAAACTTTACTTTAAAAATGAAAATTACATTTACATTGTGATTACAGCAATAAATCCTCATATTATATTATATGCCAAGCATATACCCAGAATTAGTTTTGTCTGGAGAGCTTACCTTCATGCATTCAGGGAGGTATTCTACCATTTCCATAACTGGACATTTATTGCTTGGAGAATAATGACTAAAAACCTTAAGGCATTCTTCCCATCTATTAAAAAGCAAAACAAAACAAAAAACAATGGTGATAGTAATAAAACAATCACAAGTCATAATCCTTCTGTTCTACACCACAAAGATGCCAGTTGAAATTCAAGATTATACCTTTAGGAGAGACCTGAAATTGTTCCAATGGAACCAATAGTTCACGAATCAAGATCAAACCATTAATAGGGTCCTTGTCCATTAGTGGAAATTAGAAATGTGGGAAAATTCTAGGATGGATATAATCACTGTTCTTTTTCTCTAAATTCCTTCTTAAAAAGGTAAGCTTTTACCTTCTTTTCTCCTGAAATCATGAAATAGTATGAGCTGGTCATGCTGGGTAGAGATACTCACATTCACATATATACAACAGCAACATAGTACTGAACATGATATATTTTTTTAATTTTTTCTAATGTTTATTTATTTTTGAGAGAGAGAGAGACACACAGAGTGTGAGCAGGGAAGGGGCAGAGAAAAAGGGAGACACAGAATCCGAAGCAGGCTCAAACCCATGAGCTGTGAGATCATGATCTGAGCCAAAGTCGGACACCCAACTGAGCCCCCCAGCGCACCTGAACACGTGATATTTAATGGGTAATCCGTGTATATATATCGTGTTGAATTAAACTACAAAATAACATGTGTCAAGTACGTTAATAAGCATGGATTCTGCCAGGAGATTACAGAGTCTGCTCCTTTCTTCCCTGCCATTTGTTTGGACACGATAAGAAGGTGCTTTTGATACCAAGGAGGAAATAAATCTCCAACAGGAAGTAAAGAAGAGACCATTTATCTCCAAGATCCTATCTATGTCATAGGAGACTACTTCCAAAAAGTACCAAACTTTCTGTTAACAGTATCAGTAAAATGCATCTAGAACATCTGCATAATCAGTGGCAAACTTCTGGTTGCACACTTGCATTGGCTAGCGTTTCAAAGGAATAATCATTGGTGACGGGTGGGTCTTGAGATTGCCCATGCTTAAAAACACAGGCTTATCTGTCTCGAATATGAAATGGCTCACCTCTGTGTCCACAACTGGGTGATACGGGGCCCTTGAGCATATCTGTGATTATACAGAAAAGTTTATGTACAAAAACTAGGACAAACTACCGTCCAACTTTATCATTAGAACTCCTTAAAATATGGCATAAAAACCCACAACCACAAAAGGTTATGTGTTAAGGGAAATTCCAATCGATGGCCCTAGTAACAACCTGGATATACCCCGGAGAGGATTTTCACCAACATCCGGTTTTCACATTCGTATTGGCAAGAGAGTGTTGGCAGATTCAGGTTGAGCAGGGAAGAGTGTGCTAGACAATAACCATAGTGCCAGATACTACCCATGCCCGAACCCCATGAGTGTCACATGAGTGTTATGAAGGTGATCTATGCTCCCACGATTTAGAAATGGAAAGCAAAAACCAGAGAGTTCAGTAACATGTCCGTTATTACCCAAAGAGTACATTAAAAACTTTATGTCAACAACTTATGTTTAAGAAATGTTGATTAACATCTGAAACTTATTCTTTTTCTGTTTCCTTTCAGGTTATAAATCATCCCTCGTGCCAGAGGACATGAAATGACAGTGGGATAGGAAGAAAGCATACCTTTTGTTCTTGATGGTCGTAAGAACCACGTCCTTCCTCTTATTGTGAATTGCAACATGCAAAAAGGAGGCCTGCTGCTTGTTCAGGACGATGTCAGCATCATAACTCAAAAGAAGTGCGACGGCTTTGGCATGGCCTTCCCTTGCAGCAAAGTGCAGTGCAGTGTTCTTTCAGAGAGAACAGGACACAGAAAATCCAATGACAATGGCTAGTCATCCTTTGGCTATCGTACTGCTTTCATCTTTGAACTGCTTAAAATAAATTATTGACAAACCCAACTATTTAATACCAAAATATGTAAAATTTAAAACCAATGCTCAGAGTCAAGCATCAAATAAGGAGTTTCTAAGTTCACACACGGTGTGTGTGTGTGTGTGTGTATGCGCACAAGCAATTCCAAGTGGTTTGTTTTACTTTGTTTTTATATTGGGATGATTCTGCAAGGACAAATGACAGACTTTCAGAGTAAAGATGTTGGAGTGAACACAGAATACTTCTAAGAGGTTTCTTGTCTTAGTAGAGCAATGATTTCCAGATGTTGGCTTTTTGTAGTCTGGTGAAATTTTTTAAAAATCAGGAATTGCTCTAAGGTTGCCAATCTTTAATTTGACACATAAAGACATCTTAAAAAGCAATAACAACCTTCTACCTCTATCATTTCATGAAAGAATGTGAATTTTAATACTCTCCATAAAAAGAGGAAGTATATTATAGCAGAATAAAGGATAGTCTTTCAGATCAAATACACTTAGCTATATGAAAACATACCCCGGACCTCTTCATTTTTCTCAGTTCACCAGGGAGTACTGAAATTTTTTTCATCAATCTATGTGGGCCTGTGGACTCTCTGCGAGACTCAAGAGGTGTCCTCAACATGCACCCACCTGTTGGCATTCTCCTTATTCTGTTCCCCTCTTACTCATTCCTCACTTAGCGTCTGCAGAGTAAGAACCCAACAAAAGAGTATGAATGCAGCAAGGAAGGAAATAAAATGGCTGGAAAGGACGCTTTCATGCAATTTTGGAAGTTTCTTCAATGCCAAGACTTTGGGTAGGTATGGAGAACACAGTACATACCCCTTCTTCATCTAGCTGATCTGTGCACTTCATGTTAGTGTCAAGAATGACCTTCATGGTCTGAGTGTACCCGCCCAAGGAAGCATGATGCAAAGCAGTCCAGCCACTGTGGTCACTGTTAAGAGTTAAGAAAGGACTGTTCATTCACTTCTCAGATGAATCCTGGGAAGGAATGCCACCCATTTGAAAGGTGAGTCTGATGAGTACAAAAAATAAATGCATATCTGAGTTCTAGCAACTAAGTATGTATTACATATTTCTAAAAATGAGCTAATTTCAAGACTAATGGTCTTAAGTAATCTTCCAATAATGTGATTCACACATATTTTTTAATTTAGTAGATTAACATATAAAAGTATATAAACACATCAAACATCTGTGGGTGGGTAAAACTTGAAAAAACACATTTTTCAAGACTATAATGTACTTATACACACTATTTTAAATCTTGTTTTATTCTTTCGTTGAATATTGTATCAAAACTTTTCCATGATGGTGGTTATTAGTCTTCACGGCCACTAATTGCTGCTGCTAATAACATTTTACAATACACGGCCTTAAGATGCTTAGCTTAATGCTACTTCTGTTTCTAAGACTTCAGGACTAAAAAGATCATTCCTCCAGTACTCTCAAAGACGCTTATTAATCCCTTTAGAAAACATCCTTTCTCTCACAGAAATTCAAGATGTAAATACAATGAAGCCTTGTCATCCTTCCAAATTACAGATTGGAAAAAAAAAAAAGTATGAGATCCTGAAACAACTTAATTTTAGCGCTAGTGAGCACCTATTTTAGGTTGCAAGGGCCACCTCGCCATTTCAGTTGTGAGGCACTTAAGCAACAAGTGTCTGGCCTGGATCCATTTGGGGTCCCCCACGCATGTCTGCTGAAGGCAGAAAGGAACTGAGCAGAGCATTCACTTCTCAGCTACAGCCCTACCTTGCAGGACTGGTGCTCTGATACAGAAGTGTGTTTCTGAACATTAGCCTAATGAGCTCTTTGCTTCCACATTGGTAAAATTAAAAGATAGCTCACCACACTTCTATAAAACTTGGCTTTTTACAAAGATGTCATTTAATTATGCTATCTTCTAATTATGTTTAATTATTTTTAATTTGTTTTTGCTCCTTGTGTTAGACTTCTGTATAACGAAATTCAGGAATTCTTCATGTTTCGTGTTGTAGCATAAAGAGATTTTCACCTCCATCGTTCATCAGACAGAATGAAAAAGTCTTTGAATTTGTATGGGGTGTGTGTGTACATGTATCTGCATAAAAGGATAGTAGCATGACAAAGCAAAATATGAGGAATTGTGTCTCAAACTACTTTGCACCAAGCCACTTATTCTGTGAACTCAAATGAAGTCTTCAAATCTATAAACCTTGATGTCATTGTCAATTAGAAATAAAACTGATGTCCTGTTCAACATATGAAAAATCATGTAGGTTCTGAGAATTAAAAAAGATGGACAAAAGCACTTAGTGAGAAAGTTAGATATCATAATTCAGAATAAAATAGAAAAACAGCCAAAAATGGCTAATTAAAAATACATAAATATTCTGGTCACATATCCTTACCTGAGAAATAATGCACCTTTTTTCAGAAGAAGTTGAACTACCTTATCATGCCCATTTTTTGCAGCCAGGTGCAAAGGCGTCATTCCATGGAGGTCACCTTCATTCAAAAGCCTCGTGTCATTCATATCTTGCAGAAGCCTCTGACAGGTGTTGATACGCCCGTAACTTGAAAAAATTAGGTTTCATATTTTCAAAGTAAATATTAAACAGAAAGAAGGCACGCTCACAGGGTCAAGGTAAATGGACCCTTACCTGGCTGCAAAATGTAAGGGTGATTTCTTATCTTTGCTTTTGGAATGAATGGACACGTTAAAGTCAAGGAGGTTATCTACAGAGACAGGAATCCCGTGTCTACATGCATAATGTAGAGGAGTACACCCGTCATCATCTTCATCCATTACCAGCTTTTTAATATGTTGCATCTATGGAAAAAATTAATATTCTAAATATAACTGTTCTCAAGCTCATGTAGTGTTTTTCAAACTATCCTGTAGGACAGAATTTTCCAATGGTCAATATGTACACCTTGAGGGCAAAAATATAAGTAACTCAAAGGTACTAGAGTAAAATTAATTTGGATGATGGTGCATGCTCTGTCTCCCTGAAATGTAGACTTCCATATTAAAAGTTATGCAAAGTCCTAAGAATAAGATGTGCACTTAACTTGTTCAATCCAGCATCGCTACAGGCCACCCTCTTCAGCCCTCCTTTCACTTTTTTGTCCCAAATAACACTTAAGAACTTAATGCTAATGTGTTCCATTAGACAAAAGGAAGGAGATGTTAAAAATTAGGTTTACTTTATTTTTATATGAATATTAAATTAAAAAATGAATGGAAAATGAGCACTTAGTCCAATCAATAAACATTTTTACTTTTAAACATGCAACTACAAGGATTTTTATTCTCAATTAAAGACTTTGACAATGTTAAAAATCTATTTATTATAAAAATATGGTGAACTTCAGATACACCTAATAGTCACTTGATAAGTATTAGCTGGTGACTATAAATACAGAGATAATGTTTCAACCTGTCAAGTGAAATATGTTGAATAGTTTGTTTTTTTTAATGCTTATTCATTTATTTTGAGACAGAGAGAGAGAGTGCATGCAAGCATGAGTGGGGAAAGGAGAGAGAGAGAGAGAGAGAGAGAGAGAGGCGGGTGGGGGGGAGAGGGAGGGAGAGAGGGAGAGAAGAATCCTAAGCAGGCTTCGCATTGTCAGTGCAGAGCCCCAGGCAGGGCTGGATTCCAAAAACTGTGAGATCATCATCTGAACCAAAATCAAGAGTCAGACGCTTAACTGACTGAGCCACTGAAGCACCCCAAATAGTTTTTCTTAATTGATAATTAAGTATTATGAATTCACTCCCATACTTGGCTTTTCCACTGATATGTAATTTGTAATAGTTAAAATACTGATGGAAAGCTAAATTATAGATGGGGATATAGACAGGGCACCTGGGTGGCTCAGTCAGTTAAGCGTTCAAATCTTGACTTTGGCCCAGGGCGTGATCTCACGGTTTGTGGGTTAGAGCCCCACATCTGGGCTCCATGCTGACGATGAAGAGCCTGCTTGGGATCCTCTCTCTCTGCCTCTCTCTTGCCCCTTCCATGCATGCTCTCTCTCTCAAAATAAATAATAAACTTAAGAAAAAATAGATGGGGCATATAGGAAACCTCTCTAACTTGAAAAATTCAACCCCAATGAAATTTATTATAATCATCACCATCATGTTGTAAATATTAAAATATGGAATTTTTACTTTAAAATAATTTTTAAATTCCAAAATGAGACTTCATAATAATAAAAACCGTAAGCAAAATCATTTTACCTAACTCAGTTTATGGACATCCACATATATATCTTTTACCTGAACCCAACTTGCTTTATGTAAATCCACATATATATCCATTACCTGCATAAACTCAGGTTGCAGATTTTTTAATCCATGAGGTTGCTGTACAGTCAAATGCAAAAAATTACATCCAAGATGATCTTTTATGTCTACATGGGCACCTATAAAAACATAATATAAATATAACTTCTACTCATTTATTTAAAGTATGACCTATGGTTGATTTTCAGTTTAAGAAAATCAAAGATTTTTTACTTAAAACTTTGTCAACCATTAGCTTACAGGAAACTTTATTTACAAAAGAAAACTGTATTTAAAATGGATTTACCTTACTGCGTATGTGTGTATGTGTGTGTGGGGGGGGTAGAGAATCTATGATTTGTTGCATTAATTAATGTAGGAGATCTCACCTTTTTAAAGCATAAAATATAAAGATGGAGAGATTAGATATCAAGAAAAAAAGGGACAGTAGTTATCTTCTTTGTTATCTTTACATCAGGTAGTACCTACAGTGGAGACAGTTGCAGTACCTACATCACAGGATTAATCATTGAGAGAATGTAGATAAAATGTTCAGCAGCATGCACACAACATAAAACTTGCTTTATAAATGTCATCTATTACTGTTCGAAATTATCTTTTTAAGGGTCACTCCCTTACTGAACTTACAATTTTTCTAGACAGGGCAAGTGTTCTATTTATCTCTGTATTCACAGCACCTGGTCCAATGCCTGGCACATGATAAGTGGCTAATAAATGTTTAATATCAAATTAAGTAGTAGTTGTAAAGCTTGGCCTGGTCCCTCATGGTACCTTTAGACAGTAGCAAATTTACAGTATTCCAAGATGCAGAAGCAGTTGCTAATATGAGTGGAGAACGTCCTTCCGAATCAGTGCTATTGATATCTGCTCCCTAAAATAAAGAGTTTATGAACAAATTAGCTTACAAACTGCAATCTGTAAATAATGTTAATTCATTGAAATAAAGTGTCCATATATGGCTAGCATTCAAATGTATAACTATATAACTACTTGAAATCTCCCTAGAATTCGTATCTTGTAGCATCAGAAATCAAGGCATTCTTTTATAATTTCAACAACAAATTATCCCCACGTGTTAACCTTTTGACATCTGGTGACAGATCAATGTTATTACTGAAATCATAAAACTAAAATCCTCTGACCTATACCAATAGTTTAGTTCTCAATGTAAGAAAACATTTTTAAATATCCATGATAGGGGCGCCTGGGTGGGTCAGTCAGTTAAGTGTCCGACTTTGGCTCAGGTAACCATCTCACGGTTGGTGGGTTCCAAGCCCCACATCCAACTCTGTACTGACAGCTGGGAGCCTAGAGCCTGCTTAGGATTCTGTGTCTCCTTCTCTCTCTGGCCCTCCCTCACTCACACTCTCTCAAAAAGAAACATTAAAAAGTTTTTTTTTGAATATCCATGATAAAAAAATCATCCATATTTATTGCATATAGGATTTTTAAAACATTCACAAGAAATAGTTCACTTAAAAAAATCTACTTCATCTAAAATAGATGAACTTAAATAACTGAAGTAATTCAGATCCTAAAGTAAAATTTTAGTCAAATATCTGATAAAATGTATACTTAAAAATCATATCGTATAGATAGATTTTAAATTAATAAGTCAATATTTAACATTATGTGTTACGGTTATAATATTTTGCAGGACCAGAAACAAAAGCTTAAAAAAAATTCATGGGAAGAATTCTGTCTCTGGGACAGGGGTAAAATAGCTTAAACTCCGACTCTGGATATTTCCCTGTTCTTTGGGGACCAATAAATACAGATGATGACAGCACCAGTACCCCCTCTGAAAGCCTGATATTGGTTAGTGAGCTCCTGCCACAGTTCTCTTGCCAGGCAAAGACACAGCTGTGTTCGCAGAAAACCACGCATGACAAAACTATGGCATATAATGAATCTTTCCAGGATTCCTCTATGTAAATATCACAATTTCAATAGTTGCTATTGACAACAAACGCCTGAGGAACACGACAAATGGAACTACATTCATTGCTGATATGGTGGGGCTTAAATACATACATCATATAGTCATCTGCGTAAATGACTTGTTAAAATTTAACTCGAAAGTCAACTGAGTACACCTCTTAGAATGAAAAAGATTGTGTGCTTTCAGTTGTAACAAACTCTGGACAGTATTTTTCTCAGTTTCCATCCTTGGAAAGACGGCGCTGAGGCAGCCGGGGTGGAAGCTTACAGAGAATGTGGAAGGTGACATGTACTGCCTGTCCTGTGTCCCTCTCCAAGCTGCTTGTGCATGAAGAGTCAGCAGAGCTGTGAAGCCTAACACTCCTGGAGGACTGCTTCACAGAACTGTCCTTGCTATGTACCCACCAACTCCCAACACTAAAAACACGGGTACAGTTTCTGCCCAACTTGGTGGTAATGAAGTCCGGCCATTATGGATTCGTATACAACATACTCTATTTGTAAATGCGTCAGTCATCTTTTTGTAAACTTTTTTTGCTGATAAGCAACAAAATTTGGCTTAGTTTTGAAAATCCATTATGTAATTATATGATTTTCTAACTGTAAATAGTAATAAAACAAAAAACTGTCTATAGAATAGTTACCACTGAAATTAAGTAGTCTGCCAGTTCATGGTGATCAAATAATGAGGCTCTGCAAAAGGAGAATGATACGCATATTAAAGTACTACTGATATAAATATATAAAATAAAGCTATACTATACCCAAAAAGTTTATTTACATTATCACTTAACAACATAATAAAATGCTAGAAAATCAATAGCCTTTCAAAATTTATAATTGATTGTGATTTAGGGTAATATTTTCAAAGTAATAGTAATCGAGAAAGTTCAAACACATCACAATATTTTCTTCCTCATCTTTTAGTAAAGTGGTTATGTCCTCATCAAATCATCTTGAACATGTGAAGTGAGTAGTAACATCTGTCCTAAGAGCTTAAAGTAAACGACAAAAGAACAGGCTGTTATCACTGTGATCATGGGGGGAAAAAACAGTTGCATGCAAGGTGCATGCAATTCACCTGCAATATTCAAAATGCCCTCTCTTCACCAAAGTTAACAAAGCATTAGCTTTCCTAAGGTTTTATGAAGCCAAAAACAAATTATGGGGACAATTGAAGTCATTGTGGCATTATGTCATAGCCAGTCACAAAATGACATTAATAAAGCAAACCAAAGTTTTCAATCTAAAGTGCCTCCATAGCAAATGTTAATGCTAATAATTGAAAGCTTATGTTTCGTATTAAAATATAATTTCTTTGTCCCTATTTAAGATTATCTCATCTGTTCTTAGCCTCATATATAAATTTCAGAATCAGTTTGTCAGTTTTCACCCCAAATTCACAAGAGGTTGTTTTATATTTAAATTACATTAAACCTGTTTAGTAATTGAAGGGAAATGAATAGTAACATTATGAGCCCCATATGATTTGTTCTTGTACCCCCCCCCCAAGTCTAGAGCTTTGCTACTCGAAGTGTGGGCTGCAGACCAGCAGCACTGGCATCACCTGGGAGTTCGTTAAAAATGCACATTCTCAGTAGATGTTAGCATTGAGGCTTGGAGAGGTAAATGATTTGCCAAATGTTACGTAGCCAGGTAGGGCTGGCACCCCATTCCCCTTACTCCAAAGCTTATTGTTTCAGCCAGAATAATGTACCGAGGTCTTTGCACTGTGGTAAAAAAAGAATTCTAGCCCAAAGAACAAACCTTCCTTTGAAGTTCAAGATAAACTCCAAATGTCACTGGCTATTAGAAGGATATTCCAGGATTCTAAGTAAGTATTAGGTTAATTAGAATTGGACTGAATTGGTCCAAGAAATCTACAGCCAATCCAAGGTGAGTATGTCCAACTAGAGTAGTCACCAGGCTAAAGACACTTATGGGTAAGGTGAATGGATTTTTTCCTTAAATAATTCCTTCTTATACATACTTATACATTAAAGCTGTGATCTAAATGCACACATTTTCACTATATCCAGATCATTGGGGTTCTAAATTGGATATAACCTGGAAATAGTTACCGAGTTTTAAAAAGTTCCTAAGACCAATCGTGAAGAATCTGATGTAATCTGGGATATGAACTGGCATGAGGACTTTATAAACTACCCCCATGATTCTAAGGTGCAGCAGTTTGAGACTCTCCAGTGTGGACGTCAATCTATCTTTTGTTTTTGTTCTGATCAGCCATTTCATATCACCAGTCTTTTATTCCAAATGCCAATTTGTTTTTAATAATCTGTCATCTTAATCTATTTATTTTCACATAGTTGATTATTCCTTCCTTTAAATTTCTGAACATCTTAAATAGCCTTATTTTCAAATTATTTTCAGCTTGCTCTATTATTTCTATTTCCTTGGAAGCAAATTACCCTTTCGTTGATCTTGCTGTCCTCTATAAATTTTCCTCATTGCTATGAAATTTTGCTTTGCAAACACATCCTAAGTGGGAGGTTCTTTCCATTCGCACATAGCTCATTGTGGCTGGTGCTTTTACTAATGTGGACATTCATATCCACCTCCCTAGTTGAGAACTAGATCTTCTATTGGTAGCCAGAGTTTCTTTGTCCCTGAGGGATAGTGTAGATTTCCTGGTCCAGTTACCTATTGGGAATACTCAGCTCTTTCCTGCCATTCAGGGCTTCTGCATACTCACAGTGTGTGCGTGAGAGAGAGAGATAGAGAGAGAGAGAAAGAGACAAAGACAGAAAGAGAGAAAGGGAAGACTCATCTTGCCTACCTCCTTCACTCACACAGGAAGCATTTAATCCTTGTCTTCCAAAAGGAATTGAACTCAGTCCACACTGCCTGTTTCCCGTCCTACCATCTAGTAAGCCTACAGTTTCAGATGCTTTTTTTTTCTGATGTGGATTTCTGTTAAGCCTCAAAAAAAAAAAAAAAAAAAAAAAAAAAAAAAAAAAAAAAACAAAAAAAACACCCACACACATTTATCTTGTTTGGTGCTTGGTGACCATTTCCTAAAACTGGATGCTTTGAAAACATTTGTAATTGTGAGAGTGACTGGAAAGGGTAATGGGGTGAGAAAAGTGGAACACCCCTATGTATCTGCTCCATTATCTCTAATAAACATGAGAAGACACATATGACGAAGCGAAACAGATCAGAAAAAGGCTTGGAAAGGACATGTCTGTTGACCTCCTGCACATACAGAGAATTCATCTTGAGCCTATTCTGCTGGCCTGAGAAATGATCCAGAACATGCCACTGGAAATTTTATTTTATGAAAATCTATTTAACGCTCTAATTTTAGAGGAACACAGAGATTCCAGCTGAAACACAGAATCTTTATGTTATTTTCTTCTGAACTATAGAATCTGTTACTATAAGCACTAACTTTTTCTGGCAGCGTACAATTTAATACATGAAGACTGAAAATGTGTACTCACAATGATAGGTAGGAAACTTGCCTGTGAAGGAGTGTCTCCTGATTTCCATCCACTGCATTGACGATATCACTGCTACCAGAATAGGAAGATATCATCAATTTAACAATCTCAGTGGCTCCCTGGGTGGCAGCAAAGTGAAGGGGTGTGCACTTCCCATTCTGCAAAGAGGTTTAATACCAGAACCAATATTTAAGTCCAAATTTAAGGATATAACCTAAATTCAGCTCTGGGTTTTTTCTTCCCAAGTCAACAAAATCAAGCATCAATATAAGAATCATGGCTAGCAATTTTGTTTCCATGCAATCTGATAGCTCTTAACATCTCAGTATCTCTACCATCATTATCAGTATCATTACCTGTACTGTATTTGCATTTGCAATTGTTTTGGGTAGCTCTTAAAATTCTTTGGCTAGGCTGAAATTTGGGATGTTTTCTTGTTCTGCTTCTACATGAGCCGCAAAAAAATAATACCTACTTCAATCTAAATTAAATGTAAAGGAGTTATAAAGCATTTTGGAATCTAATTTATGACAATTCTAAATAAAAGTAGCATGTAGAATATGAACAATTACTTCCATCAGATCCAACTGTGCGCCATTGTCCAAGCACATTTTAATCATTTCCAAGTCACCACTTTGAACCGCCATGTGGAGGGGACTAGCTTTTGCATTATTCACAAAGTTAATATGAGACTCTCTGCTATATCCATGTTCCTCACCTTTAGAAGAAAACAATTCAAGACAACAATTACTATAAATAAATAAGAGGAATTTTAGGGAAAAAAGCACATTTAGATTTATATAGAAGCAGGTGTATAAACTCTATTAAATATTTTTCAAATTAATAGCATCCACCAGAATAGGATTCTTTACAATATATAATGTACGAAAGCTTCTACTCACCAAACTTTAATATTATTTCCATGCATTTTTTGGCACCTGAGAATGCAGCCTGATGAATAGGGAAACATCCCCATTTATTTGCCTTACATGGCTTAGCTCCTTTATTTAACTGGAGTCAAAGAAAAAAGTCAAACGACACAAGTTAAACCTCAAATCACAAGGACAGACAAGAATTAAATGCCTCTCCCAGACCATTTCATTATTCTCGGCAACACTACATAGAAAAGCTTCATAGGCTATGAAATTTAGGCACGAAAGTAATTTTGGAAGTAGGCTAGGATAATGAACTAGAGACATTTTATATTTCCAAAGATGAAGTAACAATGTGGACATAAACATAATCAATCCTTATACTCCAAACTAAAGTCAACACATTTTTCAATGGAATTAATGAAATGTTTAAAACATTACCATGACTTCTATATCCGTGCTCAATTCTTTTTGTTAATAAAGTGATAATATTTCCCAGATTCTTTCCTCTCACTTATGTAAAATATTTAAGTGGTAAGACCAGCACTCTTGTTAAACTATGAAAATCAAGTATTTTCATTAATGGAAATACTCTGCTAAAAGGACAATAGAAGAACCGAATCTAATGTTATCTTGATCTGAGTCCATCATTTTCAACTATCATTTTTTAATACATCAATGAACTTCAGTTTTAAGTGCCTTTTATTTTCACAAAAGTAAAGAATTTGAAAAAGCAGAATAGTGTGAAGAGGCTAATATTACCTGGAAACTCACCTTTGAGGAACAGTGTTGGTTTACGTTTTAGGAGACATTTGTCTTATTTCTTTGCAAAAGTAATTACGTGTATACTGTGTAATCACACTGCTTAAAAAGATGTTACTTAATGACATTCTTTAAAACTATGATTTTATTAAGTACATATTCCATTTTTGGATACACAAAAGTTTATACAATAAAATCTCTATTACTAAACTTTTTTTCTGTTTTCTCCGATATATATCTATAGATAGATCGATAGATATACATAGATATGTTTCTATATCGATATGTATATATGTATGTAACACTAACATTAAAATCAGTAATAGCTTTAATTATATCCTTGGAATGTATTCCAAGAATTGGAAAATCAAAAATATTCATATTCACAGTGAATGAAATTCTCTGATTCATCAAAATTTTTCTAACCCTGAACGTCAACAAGGTTGTTCCGTCCTTCCAATTTAGGAGACGAAAAAATGATCTCATTGTTTTAATGGGTTTCTTTTTCATTATTAGAGAAATTAATTAAACTTCATGTGTCCCTTGCCAATCTTCTGTAGAGCACTCTCTTTTCCTCACAAATTTGCAAGAATACCTTATAGACACATTTTTATCCATTTAAAAATAAACAAATGGATGTAATTACACACTTGGTCTGGTTCAGCTCAACTGATGTGCTCTCATCCAATACTGAACTATCTGTACGTTCCCTGGATAAGGCCAACATGGTACTATGTGTTACTCTTAACTATTTCAATCAATTTGCTAGTATTTTTAAGATTTTGCATCTATGTTTATTTACAGGTAAAACTGGTCTCTATTTTTCTTTTGAGGAAAACTGTCAAATTTTGGAATTATTATTACTTTTGCTTCTTAAAATTAATCTGGAGGTTTTCGCTCTTCTCCAGTGATATAAAACAGTTACTTGAAATGGAAACTTTTCCCTGAAAGTTTGAAAGAACTTGTAAAATCTACAAAAGCTTATAAATTAGTTGGCTCCAGAGCTTAATAATGCATTTTTAAAACTTTTTTATAGTTCTCTACAGGTCTTTAATTTTTAAATTAATTTCTAAATTTCAATTCCTTTCAGCTACTCATCCATTTTTAGAATAGAATTATGCACAGTGATCTTTTATCATCTTAAAATTCTCCATCATATCCAAATAAAGTCCTGTTATTTGCATTTTATCTTTTTCTGTTTTATTCAGACTTGCCAAAAACAGCTCTATTTTATCATCATTTTCAAAGAAACAACTCTTGACTTATCATATAATGATAATGATATAATGATAATGGCTTTTTCCCAAAAGCCATTAATTTTTGTTTTCAACTTTATTCCTTTATTACAGTTTTGTTTTATTTGGGGCTCTTTTTCTAAATTCTTGGCTTGAGTGTTAACTTATTTTTATTCTCTTTTTGGTCCAATCATGACATCTTATAGGAATATGTATTTTTTTTCTCCAAAACATCTAACAAACACATTAGAACATATTTGTAAATTTAAATATTCAGAAAGCTATTCTAAAATTATTTTTATTCTGTTTTCCTACTCTCTGGGATAGTGAAGAAAAAAAATCAAGTGGTAAAAATATATAACCTGGCCTGAATAACATACAAGTGATTAAGGGATAGTTGAAAGAAAGCTATTTTCTGGAATTCTAATACCACACTCAGAAGGGACACGATGTAGTCAGTCATTTAGATGGGCATCTCCAGAGTTTCTGTGGATCACATCAGAAAATCTCACCAGGAAGAAAGGGCTGGCTCTTGTTTTAGGGCTGTGGTTAAGGACCTTGGTCATTATGCCATGCAGGGCTCCCTTTCTGAGAATCTTCTAGTCCTGCGAACATGAATGGCTTCTTCTCTTGGTTTATATTTCATGAGCCCAACAGTAAGTTTGTAGTTGACTATGTTTCTCTCTCCCTAGACCATTCAGAAGCTCAGATCCACTTTTACTAGCACACAACCCACTATACTTTGTATTTTGTAGTCTCGCCTGATCACCAGCTTCATATTCATTTCTGCTGTCCATACTTTCTTTTCACTTGTATTTTCCTTATTGTTTTCCTGTTAGCCTTCTGTAAGCGATTTCAGATGGACTTAAGACTTAAGGGGTGTGTATAACTACAAAAACATGGAGAACTTTGTTTCTGACATTTTCTGCATTTTACATCTTGCTAAGAAGAGAAGCTGAGAGCTGTTATAAATGCCAATGACTCATGCTATCCTAATGGAAAGAAAGAAGATGGGGACAGGGGTTAAAACACAAACCAAGATTTGCAGTGCTTCACTATTATCTTTGGCGCATGCGATTATCACAGCTGTGTTTCCATTTTCTCCTTCCAAATTAATATTAGTGTTGTTGTGCTCAGTCAAGACCTACACAAAAGAGGGGAATAACGGTCAGAAAGTTAGCTTTCAAGTTTCCAAACACGGTACTTGTCTTCCATTAGATTATAAGCACCTGCATGCTAGGGACCATGTCCTCATTCATCTTTTTTTCATCTTTCTCCCACAGAATCTGGCACAACATAGTTGGTACTACGTAAGTTTCTCAAAAAGATGAAGTAAGGGGCACCTGGGTGGCGCAGTCGGTTAAGCGTCCGACTTCAGCCAGGTCACAATCTCGCGGTCCGTGAGTTCGAGCCCCGCGTCAGGCTCTGGGCTGATGGCTCAGAGCCTGGAGCCTGTTTCCGATTCTGTGTCTCCCTCTCTCTCTCTGCCCCTCCCCCATTCATGCTCTGTCTCTCTCTGTCCCAAAAATAAATAAACGTTGAAAAAAAAATTAAAAAAAAAAAAAGATGAAGTAATGGTGATTTCTATATCACATCGATTTAGGCAATATGGAGTTGTGAAATTGGAAATAGAATATGAATTATGGATGCTAGTAAATGTAGCTCACTTAATACTTTTCACTTGTATTAAATGAACTATGTTGACTAATATCTTCAAGAAAATAAATCTGTGGAACCATCTGGAGTATGTGAGTGTGGAGCAGAAAGGGAAGGGAAGAAAAAGAGGGAGAGTGAAAGCGAGGCAGGGAGGGAGAGGAAAGGCTGCTTTCTCCTCTCTAGCCATCTTTCTTGTACCTCTGTTCCAAGTATTGTGGGAAATGTCAATTAAAACTCCATTCTCTTCAGCATAGAAAAGAGAGTTCACATAATGCTGGTATGGGTTAACTCAATTCATTCAAACTTAGTCTGGAACAGAAATTTATTGTAGGATGTAATAAATTAGCATTCCTGATAAAATGGTTAAGCAATTTTTCTGATGGAATTTAACGACCTGTTGCCCCCTCACCTGGCTGACTTCTATCTGATTATTGGCCAAGAATCTATATATCTTTAACCAGTCTTCATTTTATATTAAATTTAACAATAATTATCTCATATAAACGTCTCTCCCAAGACAGAAATCTTTGAGTTGGCCTCCTAGAGGTCTTTTCTCTCATGGTAAGACTATAATAAAACTATAATATGTGCTTACAATTAAATTGCTTAAGAAGAATTTATTAAATAAGCTGTTTGCTAGAAACCTTGACTTAAAAAAAAAAATCACACAGAACTCCTTGTTAATAGAACGTGTCCTGATAGATCAGCAAATGAATTAGGCTTCCTAATTAACTCTGCTCATAAACCAAAATTAAATTGAGATTTTAGTACATAAGAACACGTAGAAAATTATTGACAGATGAAAGAATGACAGCACAAGTTCAGTCTGAACCTCAGGCACTTTCACATTCTGTTCTCAACAAACACTAGATTCTCATGCAAAGTAACCTACCAAGTTTGTAAGATTTTTCTCTTTGCCCTCTTAGAATCAGAGACCATAGATTTATGGCACTTATTAGGGTGTTATTGCTTACTACCATAAGCACAGTTTTTCATAAAGCTGTGTAAAATTCTATGTGGCAGAGGTCCCAGAGAGAGGAACTAAACTGTGCCCACTTCAGATTCACTCAAGACCAGGCAAGTCTGGAGGTTTGCAGGTGAGGCCTCCAGAGGTCCCTTTAATAAAAATCCAGGAAGCCTCATGGGAGGCTCAAACCACTGGATACTTAAGGGTTAAGCCCTAAGGACAAAGGCCAGACTACCTGCTAACCCCCAGGCCAACGCGTCCCAGGGAACACTAAACACACCACTGGTGTCTGCACAAGAACCCGAGGTGACATGTGAATAACAACTTTCTACTTTACAACCATCTAGGCAGTGGTGGAAGGCCTGGGGGAAGGCTAGCCAAGGAGACAATGGAGAAGCATTCTACATTACGGCTGGTGGGGTACAAGCCAGACCCAGGGGCGCAACTGGGAAGGGTAACCCCAAAGGCTTGTTTGTAAGCACATAAACACACCAAAATTCCTCCTCCTTCCATTCTCTTCATCTCTGGTTCAGTAAAGGGGTTTGGAGACACTTTTTGATGAAGTTATGACTGGTAAGACCAAGCAAAGGAGAGACCACTAATTTCAATTCTCTTATAACCCAGCTTTTTTTCTTGTTCTTGTGTCACCAGGAAATTCTGTTATATACACCATCTAGTTTACAAATCAGTTATGGGCTTATTTCTAAACTCTATTTTGTATTTCTTTTTTAAACTTTTTTTTTCAACATTTATTTATTTTTTGGGACAGAGAGAGACAGAGCATGAACGGGTGAGGGGCAGAGAGAGAGGGAGACACAGAATCGGAAACAGGCTCCAGGCTCTGAGCCATCAGCCCAGAGCCCGACGCGGGGCTCGAACTCCCGGACCACGAGATCGTGACCTGGCTGAAGTCGGACGCTTAACCGACTGCGCCACCCAGGCGCCCCTCTATTTTGTATTTCTATGTGATACCTTTCTGATTCTGAAGATTTCTGATATCTAATTAACAGCCTTTCAACTGTTACCTGCCTTTGAATTCCCAAATCAAACTTTCAGAGTCAAGATTAATTAAGTACTTGGGCACTTGCTTCTGAAAAGAACCTTCAGAGGAAGCACAAGAGTTCCTTGAGGAAATATGTGGCCTCTCTGGGTGGGGAGGGGAATCCCCACAGTCACTAGTTTCCAATGCAAATGGTAGAGAAGGAGCATTTGGCTCACAAATAATGCAGACAATTAAAAAACAGTTTACTGCCAAAGGCCTTTTCAATAACCTCTTCAAGGGGCTGTCCTGACCCATCTTCTTAGGTGCTGAGACCTAAGTTCCTCCATTCTCTTTCGGGCAAAATGCCCATTCACTCATTCATTCACTTATTCAAGAGCCATCCTTTACCAGGTGAGAACTGGAGAGATTTATATTAGTTGCACACAGTCCCTCCTTCAAGGATAACCAGCCAGAGCAGGAGAAAACCAAATGAACATTTGATTACAACACCATGTGTTAAGTATTACGGTAGAGCTATATACAAGTTATAGTGGGAAAGCAGAACGCAGGCTCCCCTCACACCCTCTATGCTTGGCTTCAAGAACCCAAGGACCCAAGAGGCTGAGAGGAAAGTGTTTGGGTTAAAAGGGGCATGGAGCTCAAGAACACCCCTAGGATTTCTTTGGTAATTTATCAACAAGGTAAGTTTTCATGTGGTATGATGGACCAGAAATTTTTCCCTCAAAAGTTGAAATGCTAATCCTCAATTTGATGGTACTGGGAGGTGGGGCCTTCAGAAGGTGATTAAGAATGGCATTAGTGCCCATATAAAAGAAACCCCAGAAAACTCTCTTAACCCCTTTCACTTTGCAAGGACACTAAGATAACAACCATCTGTGAATCAGGAAGTGATCCCTCACCAGACACCGAAACTGCTAGTGCCCTGACCTTGGACTTCTCAGCCTCCAGAACCGTGAGAAATGAATGTTTGTTATTTAAGGCCCACAGCCAATGGTATTTTGTTACAGCAACTTGAACTGGGTAAGATATGTGGCTTAGCACAAAATCCAAGTCATTATGTGCAGTATAATTTCCTTAGGAAAACTTACTCTTGGTTCCAAATTGCCTCCTTTAGAAATGGATATCTGGTGGCTAACAGACACAAGAAAAGATGCTCAGCGTCACTCATCGTCAGAGAAATACAAATCAAAGCCACACTGAGATACCACCTCACACCTGTCAGAGTGGCTAAAATGAACAAATCAGGAAACTACAGATGCTGGCGAGGATGTGGAGAAACGGGAACCCTCTTGCACTGTTGGTGGGAATGCAAACTGGTGCAGCCACTCCGGAAAACACAGTGGGGGTTCCTCAAAAAATTAAAAATAGATCTACCCTAAGACCCAGCAATAGCACTACTAGGAATTTACCCAAGGGATACAGAAGTGCTGATGCACAGGGGCACACATACCCCAATGTTTATAGCAGTGCTTTCAACAATAGCCAAATTATGGAAAGAGCCTAAATGTCCATCGACTGATGAATGGCTAAAGAAGATGTGGTTTGTATATACAATGGAATACTACTTGGCAATGAGAAAGAATGAAATCATGCCATTTGCAGCAATGTGGGTGGAACTGGAAGGTATTCTACTGAGTGAAATAAGTCAGAGAAGGACAGGTATCATATGTTTTTACTCATATGTGGATCTTGAGAAACTTAACAGAAGACCATGGGGGAAGGGAAGGGGAACAGAGAGGGAGGGAGGCAAACCATATGAGACTCTTAAATACAGAGAACTGAGGGTGGATGGGGGTGGGGGGCGGGGGAGAGGGGAAAGTGGGTGATAGGCATTGGGGAGGCCACTTGGGATGAGCACTGGGTGTTGCATGTAAGCCAATTTGACAATAAACTATATTTAAAAAATAGAAATGGATATCTGGAACATATTCCATTTGTAAATTTCATTGCCCTTTAAGTAAGCATGTGTGTCTTCTAATGTGTCTATGAAACTCTGCGATGCAGTTTAAAAGCCTTGGACTAAACCTTACCCTTTAGACATTCACCAGTATCTCCACTATTTGACAGAACTCACTCTGAAGGTTTGGAAAAAATAAGATATTCCCCGAAAGTATGGTTCTTCTTCTGCTAAGATATGCCAGACGCTAAGGCATGCCGTCCATCCTAACAAAAGTCATAAATCACACTTATGTTTTCTGTGTTCACTGAAGCACTCATCACTGTCTTCCTTTTCATCATTAAATCAGGCAGGTAAAAAAAGTAAAGCATTAACTCACAAACATGGAAATGAGAACAAAATTACTAATTCTTGCTTCCAACCAGTTATGCAACATTAGGCAAATTATTTCATTCTATCTGTGCCTCAGTTCCTCAGCGATGAAATGGGGACAATAACAGTCTGACTACAATGTTCTGTTTCTTTTAATGATGATTAAATAAATTAAAATATATGAATCTTTTTAGAAAATGCTGCTACATAAAAGCAAGACTATAATCACTATTCATCATTGGCTGGTCAGAAGTAAAACCAACATTATTACCACTATTTCCATTTGCTCTGGTAAGGTTAGGTTGGCCACTCTGGCTCAGGCAGAGACCACAGGATGTAGGTCCTATCCTATGCTATGATGGGGAGATGGCAGAAGCCTTACCTTCATCACCTCATTGTGTAAGCCCTGCACAGCGATGTGAAGAGGAGCCAACATGTTGCTGTTTCGGAGGTTTGGGTTGGCTCCTTTGCTAAGAAGAAACTTAACACTTTCAACTTGGTTTTTTTCTGTGGCCCAGTGCAGAGGGGTATTTCCATAATCATCCATCACATTCAGCACTAGAAAAAGACACCAAAGTAAGGATTAGATTTTGCTTGGACTATATCCAACACCTACTGATGCCTATTCACTTCAAAGCTCAGTGCCAAGTGCTACTAACATAGGCTTCACCTTCTGTATAATAAAATGAAGGGGTGGGCTCAGTCAGTTAAGCATCCAAGTCTTGATTTTGGCTCAGGTCATTATCTTGCAGTTCAGGAGTTTGAGCCCCGCATCGGGCACCATGCTGACAGTACAGGGCCTGCTTGGGATTCTGTTTCCCTCTCTCCCTGCCCCTCCCCTGCTCACTTGCTCTCAAAATAAACATTAAAAAATTGTTAATTAAAGTATTGCTTCAGTGCTTAAGACACATCTAATGGACACCTGAATATACAGCAGATATGCTGACGTATGGCATGGACTTTGTCAAATGAGTTAGATGTCTGTCTGCAGCATCTGTAAGAAATAGATTCTCCTACTGCTACAAGCTTTTATCTGTGGTATGAATTTGGGGATAGTTATAAAATATTGAGCTCACCTAAAAGCAGAAACTATATGCCAGGAACTCTACTAAGTTCTACACAATCATTATTGCACCCAACCCTCTAAGGGCCCACAAGGAACCATGAACATTTTTCAGAAAGATAAAGAAAAATGAGCCCCGGAGAGTTCAAAACCTTGCTAACATTACATAGCTAGTACAGAGTTCTACAAACTGCCTTACCTCTTTGAACCTCAGTGTTAGTATATTCAAATTTGGTAAGAGGGAAGGAAGAAGAAAAGGATGAGTGAGGGGAAGGGAGGAAAGAAAGGGGAAAGAAAAAATTTTAAATATATATATATTTCACAATGTTTGGGGGAAAAGAGTATCAAATCATGTCTTCGAAGATCTTAGTAGAGTATTTGGCCCCTAGCCATGGTTCAAAAAATGTTAATGAGAAAAAAAGACATATCACTAATAAACTAGAAGACTGGAATTAGGGCCTGTGCTCCTGATGCCATAAGTGGTTCCCACTTATTTCTAGGATACAACATATTGTACTATTTACCCTGTGGGCTCAGCCTAAGAATATGCCCTTTCATACCACAATGTCTTACATCTGTTCTAAAATAGACTTGACTGTCTGCTTTTTAATTAGTGGCAAAATATTCTTATGTCTGAGGCGCGAGGAAAGTATTCAGTCACAAATATTATTTGAGGACCATCTGGAACCATGCTGCAGCCACATTTTGCATTTTTTCTTTTCCTTTTTAAATGTTCATTTATTTATTTATGTATTAATTGAGAAAGAGAGAGAGAGGGAGAAGGAATGCGGGGGATGGGGCAGAGAGAGAAAGAGAGAGAGAGAATCCCAAACAGGCTTCATGCCCAGTGCAGAGCCCAATGTGGGGCTCGATCCCACAACCACGGGATCATGACCTGAGCTGAAATCAAGAATTAGATGCTCAACCAACTGAGCCACCCAGGTGTCCACCCCCCATTTTAGAATGTATCTTTCCATTCTTTTCACTCACCCAAGTACCTCATTCTCAGCAACACAAGTGTGCACGCACACACACACGCCCTCTCCCTCATACTCATACACATTCTTTGATCATTTTGATTGATCAGGACACTCAAGTATTTCATTCAGCCCCAACTTAAATAGGGGCTTAAAATTATAAATTCCCATTCATTAAATAACTTGAATTTGACTTTTATCTGCATCACTTTCCAGAAATCATTTTTACAAAGGTCACTGAGGCCTTTTAATATAAGGGTTATTGGGATCTTACTTCTATTTGATCTCTTTGATACAGTATTTCTCATTACTCATCTATCCAAAAACTCTTCTCTTGGCTTGTGTACCATTAATATCTTCTCCATCATATCTCACCATCCTCTTGTTGGTTTTTCTTCTGCCATCTGATCCTTGGTATTTGTGCTCTACCCTTAGCTACCTTTGCGGGCAATTTCATGGCCTCCTAAAGGATCTCCATGCACTTCCACAGCCTCATTGGCCCTGTGGGGGCAGCTCCCTTCCTTCTAGAGTTCTAGTCTACTAGAACACTAGCTATTAATCTACTAATCTACTGGACATTTTCAAGTAGCTGTCCTCTGGGCCTTTCAGACTCAGTATGACCAAACCAAATTCACTATTCCTCACATCTTACTCTGAGTTTTCTTCTGTTGTTTATTTTTTTTTTTAACATTTATTTTTGAGAGGGAGAGAGACAGAGAAAGAGACACAGTGCGAATGGGGGAGGAGCAGAGACAGAGGGAGACACGGAATCTGAAGCAGGCTCCAGGCTCCAAGCCATCAGCACAGAGTCCAACATGGGGCTTGAACCTGTGAACTGCGAGATGACCTGAGCCAAAGTTGTATGCTCAAGAGACTGAGCCACCCAGGCGCCCCTGTTTTTTTTCATATGCCTTCTTTTCTGGATAGCTATACTATCAGCCTCATTTCCTAAATTAGGAATCTCAAAGTCAGTTCAACCGCTTGCCACTTTCTCTTCACGTCAAATCTCTTATCAAGCACTGCCTGCTCTACATGCAAAAGAGCTCTTGATTCTTTCTTTTCCCTATTCCAATCTCAAAACCCTGGTGGACTCTCACCTTTTCTTCGCTACTAAGGTAGCTTTCTCATTGGGCTTCCACTTCCAATCTATCTTCTACAATATTGATAGAATCATCTTAAATAATGAAGGTCTTATCATAACATCTCACTGCTTAAATCTCTGTGGCATCCCCCTTCCTTGTTACAGTTGAGTTTCTCCAACAAGACAGTGTATGCACAAGGCTGAACTAGGGGACGATGTTCCATCTTCTTGGAGTCTCAATATTATTTAATGATATGAAATTTAAGTGCAGAATGACCTCAATGGAAATAATAGAGAAGAATACATAAAATGCATATGAGAGAAATCTGTTCATGTTGTACAGCATCCCAGGTATCTGTACCATCCTTTGCAGTATTTCAGTGGAAATATATATTCTTTTTTTTTGAGAGAGAGTGCACGTGAGTGGGAAAGGGGGGGGAGGGGGAGGGGGAGGGAGAGAGAGAGAGAACCTCAAGCAGGCTCCACATTCAGCATGGACCTCAGTGGAAACATTTGAGGAACACTGGCCCAAAGGGCAAACCACACTCCTGAGTAAGATATTCAGGTCCCTTATAATCTGGAACTAATATGCTCTTCAAAATTACCTCATACCACTCTTTCCAATGAATCTAACAGATGATGGACTTATGTAGCACTTATTATAACATTTCGTCACCTTCAAAAGAGGAGTCATTGATGATCATCCCCATCAGCTGCACTTGACCTTCTTCTGCAGCATGGTGCAAAGGGGATGCGTTCACATCATCATATTTGCTTAACTTCTTTCGTTTCTTCAAGTTAAATCTACATGTACTTCCTTCAAAAACCACCTGGAAGCATACAAAAAATTGTTACCTCCAACAAGTATGTATAAAACTCAATACAGATTAACTGTTAAACGGTTACTATCATCCAAAACTATTTATCATGCTTATGATAAAATATTTTTTAAAGAACACAAAATGCACACAGACATATAGAAGGTACAAGTAAATGCTTGAAAAGTTTTGAAGTAATTGTAAGGGATATGATCTAAGAAATACTAAGTATAGTGAAAATACAGAAAAGTTTTCTTTGTCAGGTGAAAATGTACTTAAATTAAAGCATGGGGGATTTTGGTTAGATAAAAAGATTTTCATGAATGCAAGGATCAAGTCATGTAACTTACGTGGTCAGTACCCTAAAACAGCTGCCCACTCACCACCCTGGGATTAAGTAATTACTCCTTTTCTGACTACTGGAATCCTGCACCAGGCCAATTCAGGTCAGGTTCACCTCCTCATTGTTCTCTGCACACTGGAAATGCCAGCATTTCTGTGCACTTACTTAGGACCAGATGTCAGGACACTGAGAGGTGACACAATTTGCCCAGAGGCACGCTAAATGGCAAAGTGAGAACTTGAACCGGAGATGCATGGAATATATATTTTGGCTGACTGGCGAATGTTGGAAAAACCAACATACAGTAGAAAGTAAAGCCAAGGTAAAAACCATCATCACAGAATGAACTCTGATACAGTAAATGCTTTAATCATAAACCATAAGAACAGACTTTGTAGAGTAAGCTCAGTAAGCTTTTGGCACAGTTGATGTTGTCACTGGCCTATGAAAGTGTAACTCCAAGCACACGCTCACTTCCACTGATGCCAAGGGAGGAGTGTGAGCTTTTATGAATACCTGTTTTTCTTTAACACTCTTTTCTTCCTGTTTTTTAAATTATTTATTATGATCGGACTGAGGATGATTTATCATAATCATAATTCTTCCTTGTAAAGTTTGTGGGGACAGTGTTGACATTCTGCTTTTGATTCTCACAAGATATGAAAAATTCCCAAACAGAACCTTTTCTAGAAAATCTCATGGCCTAAACAGACTAAGGTAACTAAAAACTAATCTTCAAAAATAATTTTATTTGATGTTATTAGTGTTACTCTAGCAAACAAAATTTTTTAAAAGCCTTCATGTGATAAACTTGTTTCTATTATCCTGCCTTGCATTATTTAAATTTTCATAAATACTTCAGATCCAAAAGTATGTTCCATTTTTCTAAAAGTTAATTAATGTATCCTCTCTTACTACCTGTATTAGCTGACAATCTAGTTCCCTATTCAACTACTGGAGAATTCTTAGTATTGGTTTTATATAGAAAATTAAGAATTTTCAAAATAATTATACTCATTTACAAATTATACTTCAATTGACTGATAAGAGATTTATTCAAAGTTGCTTCTAGAATTCCCCCTTATATTTGAAAGTGAGTACTAGGTATGATCCATAAATATGAATGACATACCTTATTCTATTGCTAACATTTTTATATTGCTTAGATATGATGGTATTGATTACATACCAATTTGGAGACACTGGAAATTGCACTGGATTAGGTATTTTGATGTTTGCTTGCCAAAGCCAAATTGCAGATTTTGGCCCCCAAATAAGGCTGTAGCCAAACCCTGGCATGTCCCTGAATGGTATACAAGTGTTCTACCAGAAGCTAACCTCTTCTAGCCCCACGCTGTGCTGTGTTCATGGGGGACTTAGCGACAGTTAAACCAGGCTGTCTACCAGAGTGAAGCCTGCCCTTCTCTCTCTTCTTGTTTCCAATCCAATGCCCTCCTTAATTCTCCCTCCTCCTTGAGGCCTTCATGAGAAATACAAGATGCTATTCTCTAGCCTGGCCTTGCTTTGTCTCTCAAAAGTGCCCAATAACAGGCCACAGGACATATGGGGACATTACAGCACTGACAGTTGCTGGAATGTGTGCCATGGATTCCCATTTTTTCCTCCATTTTTAAAAAATTTCCGATACAGCAAATATTGGTGGCTCTAACCCCAAAACTAGCATTCTTTGGAATCTTCAAGTTTAAAAGGATTCTATGACAAAAAAAAAAACAGTTTGAAAAACACTCGTTAGTTCTTTCCTCACACTGTCTGTACTGAATGTGTACCACACATTTGGATACTTATTTTCTGTGATACTTTCTACATGTAAATAAGTATGCCAGAAAGAGACAGTGGAGGAAGGAAGGAAATAAGACCCAGAGCTCTTATAGAGCAGCAGGTGGGGCCAAATGGATCATTATCCACTGCAGAATTTCCCCCACACTACCTTTTTAAAAAGCAATGTGGAAAATTAATGGAACCTCATTCCATTGCTATGGTAATATATGTACTAAAATTATTTCTCAATGGCCCTTGCAGCTTTGCAAATATGTGACCAAATGAGACATTTGTCTGATTTTTTTCTGAAGATATTTCTTAATATTTCATCACATGAACCAAAAGCAAAACGTTTTATAAGATAATAGTCCTAGAAACCACTGTAGAATAAGTACTTCCTGAGAATGCTGAAACCTTCTTCAAACAGATGATCCAGGTACTTGCTTTAATTCTGTCTTTAGCTATGACTAGTCACATTTGACACACATGAAATAAAATGAAGTGTTAAAGTACTTATTTTATTTTATTGAGAGAGAGAGAGAGCAGTGGAGAGGGGGAGAAAGAATCTTAAGCAGGGTCCATGCTCAGTGGAGCCCAACGTGGGGCTCAAGCCCCTAACCCAGGGATCATGACATGAGCTGAAATCAAGAGTCAGGTGCTCAATCAACTGAGCCACCCAGGTGTGCTGTACCTAATGCATTTTAAAACATAGTTAATAAACATGGAGCATATTAGCATTCACTCATCAAATGTCAGGCTGAAATAAATAAAACAAAATCCCTTAAAATTTTGAACTTTGGGTTTTGCTCTGTTATCATGGAATAGTACCAGAGAAATCACTTTTCCAGGACAGTCCTTAAAATACATTGTATCACTTGTCAACTACTAAATTCTATGTAAGCTACACATAATTTTAGTGGATGAAGGATAGAATAGCATCCAACCATTTCAATTTACAGATTCAGTTATAAATTTAAAATGAATTTCTTACAGAAATAAGCGAATTCTCAATGTCTCACCCAGCAAAGGCAGGGTTTGTCTAATTCCATTTGGAAGTATTTTAGCCACTGAATTTGATGTTCTTCCAGTGATAATAAAGGGATTACACTGCCCACCCCACGGTGCCAGAAAGAACAATTCACAGGTCTGCTCAGGAATGTGCGGTCAACACAAACCCAATTACACACTCTGAGAACAAGTACTAAGTTCAGACACTCACAAAGTACTGCTGAATTCACAATGACAAAAGAGCATCTAAGTACTTTATATAAGCTCATCAGATGTGCTCAACAGTCTGAATTCAGTACATGATATGTTAAGGCAGGCTTTGAAGAGACTGCTTAAAGAAAGTTCTGAAAGTAAGCCAAGGAGGTCATTTAGAGAAAATTATTATACATTCAATAGAGTTTTTTATGGTCACAGAGTTACTTCAGATTCTTTTGATTTCTGAACTATATGACTAGCTATGGAACATGATGGACTAGATCACTTTTAAAGAAGTTAATTCTAAGCCCTTTAAAACAGAGATATCAAATACATTTGTTCTAGGTTGCCTCAGTGAAATACATACAAGCAGTAATGGAGTAAAAAAGAGGGAACCTAGGTGAAAGACTGTAGCAAATGAAGGGTCAAATGCTAATGCATTAATTCTCTTGAAAGAAAGTCATGAAAAAAGCTAAAAGCATCAGATGGTTCTTTTTCCACATTTCTCATCTTGTAAAGTTTCTCCCATCCTTTGATTTTGTTAGTACTCCTGAAATAGTGGGTCTATGCTGGAGAAAATATACACCACATCTTTTTAATAAGGAAAGAACTCTCCACAGTATTACATGTACTTATTTGTAATTAGTCTCACCACTGACATTTCTACAGAATGATCTGGAATTATTGTACATAATAAAATACATAAATCCCTCAAACTACAAGCTCTATTGTGGCTTCTAAAAGTCTTAATAACCTAAATGGCTCCACTTGACTTAGGCAATAAAACTAAAGACAGTTAAATAAAAACCATGAAGAAAATGAAGTTTGAGACTTTGTGCTGCAGAAAACCTCCCGTAAATATCTAAGACAAAACCACATTGGTAAGTGAAGGATCTCAGATGCGATTTTTGAAATGTAAAATTTTCTTCCATTCCATAATATTAATTCCAAAGACATTATCCTAGTGCTTGAAATCAACTCGAGAGCTCAGGTCTTTGTGTTAACCCTATAGATGCCGGTTAATACTCTAAAACTAAGGAGGAGGAAAAAAGTCAGTGTTTAATCCGGAGGTGCAAACAGAATCACCTTGGGAAGTCTGGTTTGTCAGTTTATGTGACTTACTACACGTGCCTGACTTACATGATTGGCAGCAGTGCCAATCTGGTGATTTCAATCAAAATTAAAGCTCTTGGGGCACCTGTGTGGCTCAGTCGGTTAAGCGGCTGACTTCCAGCTCAGGTCATGCCTTTGAGCCCCTTGTGCTGACAGCTCAGAGCCTGGCCCCTGCTTCGAATTGTGTCTCCCCGCCTCTCTCTGCCCCTGCCCGTCTCGCACTGTCTGTCTCTCTCTCTCAAAAATCAATAAACTTTTTTTTTTTAATTAAAGCTCTTGATCCTGCTGGGACTTTTACATACATGCATATTCACTAAATGTACTGACCAAAAAAAAAAAAAAAAAAAAAACTGCATCTACACTCAGACACAATCTCACATGTGATGCAAAACAAAAACCCTGTCCACTCTTGCTGGACCAATGAATGACAAACTCATACAAGAGACTACTATAAAGCTGCAGAATAAGAGTGAAGTACACCTCCAGGTGCTGAACTTTAAAGTATTCTAAAATATAACATAGTAAGTCACGGGCGTGTATTTGTGCAACCCGCGTCTCCCTCCCTGTGCGCTCTGGAAAATACACAAGGAACTGTTAACATGGATTCCACCGTGGAAAGGGATTCCAGGTGGGGCACGGGAGACACACTTGGGACGTTTTAACGCTTAAAAAGAGACCCTTCTTCCCGCCGACCACGTGAAGACAGCCAGGGGCGGGTTTGCAGAGCCCCCAACAGCCTCGGCGCTCAGACTGCGCCCTGCCTCTCCGGACGTCAGGGTGTCCCGGGAACCGCGCAAACAACAGAAACCCGTCCTAGCCCTCGGGGTCTCGCGAAGACCACCTACCCTGCGTCCAACGGCCTCCTCTTTCACAGTCCTTCCAGAAGCCCCCACTCCCTGGAGGAACTCGCCAGTCCCGCCATGTTCGGTACTTTGGGCTAAGTCCCCGAAGCCGCAGGTGCCCGCCCGTGAGCAAAGGCGGGCCGCGCAAACCAGCGGACAAACACAAAGGACCCGGCAGGCTGCGGGGGCGCCTCGCTAACGCGCCCCTCGGGGCCCCCAGTGCACCGCACACACGCCCTGAAACCCGCCCGCCCACCTCGCGGCGCTCGGCGCCCTCGGGTCCCGGGGCAGCCGGCTGGGAAACCTTGAACGCAGGAGCGCAGAGTTCAGCAGAGCCGCCCCAGCCCGTGCTCCGGACCCGTCCCCACCGCCCAGCGCCTAGGGTACCTTCAGCGAGTCCTTGCGGCCGTCCATGCCGTTCTCCACGCCCTGGTAGACTGCGCCCTGGGGCTCCTGCTTACACCCAGGGCTCAGCATCTTCCTCAGGCTGCGCCTCATCTACCGCACCCCGTCGCCACCTGCGCCAGCTGCTCCCCACCTGCGCGAGCACCTGCGGCGAGAGATTGTGGGGAGGTGACGGAGAATGAAGAACTTCTGGAAGGGGTTCTTCGGCCCAGCCATACAGCGTAAACAGGAGGACACCGGGAAGAGGCAGGGACACAGACCTCTTGTCCGCGCGCGGCGAAGGGGTGGCCGCGCCGAGACTGTCCCCCGCTCGTCGCTTCTGGCCCAGCAAACACGACTACTTCGCCTGTCCGACTGCGACCCAAGAAGGCAACGCACCCCCTAAGTCATGGTGTCAGGCCAGTGTGGATCCAAGGAATCTGGAATCTTTTATAATAAAAACAGTAAGAACCGCCCACCCGCACAACCGGGGAGAGGGGTGGGGGAAGGAAGGGAGGCGGGGGTGGGGGTGGGGGGGTGATAGTTGAGAATGAGAGAATAACTGGGTACATTAGGAAGATTTTTAATTTTTAGGATGCCCCCCCAAAGCTTCTGAGGTTGTGTTTCTCATTTCATTTTAGAAGTCTAGCTCTTTGACTTGGAAATAAGGTTTTTAGAAAAGCGTGCCTTTCCAAAAAAAAAAAAAAAACATGAGGGACTAAATCCTAGCACTGGTTTGAGCAACTAGATCAGGTCTCTTAGCACCTCAGGTTCCTTTTCCTGTGGATGGCAATGCTTATCTCATGATTTGGTGTTTCACAATGGCTGAAAAAGTTACTTGTTAGGTTAAAGGTAAATCCTATGACTCCTGTGGGCTGTTTACCCTCAGCTTTGTTTGAAAGGTTTACCTTCAAGGGCCTGCACTGCATTTGTTAATCAAGGGCATGGGTGTAAATTGTGGGGTGGTAGGGTCTCCTCTCAATTGCAGAGGCCACTTCTCTTAATGTTTATTCAGTGGAGCCTCTGAAACTGTTGCAGTGATGTTTAGGCTACAAGGTTAGAAAGAAAAACAAAAAACTTCTTTCCAAAACTGATTAGCTTTGCACAGGCCAGCACTTAGCTTTGGAGGTCTCTTGTCTGGACAATCTGTGTGCTTCTTTAAGGCCCTTGATTGTCATATTCACCTGGGAATCTCCAGCACCTGTCACACGTGGCTCCAGGACCTGGCCATAGATCCTACACTAAATAAAGATTTGTGGACCACTTGGCATAGGGGCCACACCGGGCTGAACTTACGGGCAGGTAACCTAGCATGGTGATATTCTGGAACTACAAAGCCCTCGCCCTCAGTCTATCAAGAGATATTGCAAGTTGTTATCAATTTCACCTGTGAAGTGGAATGCTTTAGGGTAATATTGAAGTTCTCACCATGTATCAGTTTGCCATCTACCAGTTGATGGACATTGGATTGTTTCTAATTTTTGTCTACTGTAAATAATGCTGCTATGAAATTGTTCATGCACATCTTTTTTGTGGACATGTACATTTTCATTTTTCTTGGTTAAATACCTAGTAGTGAGTTGCTGGGTCATATGATAAGTTCAGCTTTGTATGACATTTCCAAACTGTTTTTCCACAGTGGCTATGCCATTTTACGTGCCCACGAGTGCAGTGTGAGGTTTCCAGTTTCTCCATATCCTCACCAAATCTTGGTATCAGCAGTCTTTTTGATTTTAATCAGTCTAGTGTGTATAGAGTGGTATCTCCTTGTGGCTTTAATTGGCATTTCCCTAATGACTAATGATGTTGTCTGTGTTTTTCATTCCTCATTAGCCGCTCATATGTCTTCACGGAGTGCTTCTTACTTACTTTGCTTTTTTAAATTCAGTTGTCTTCTGAGTATTGAGTTGTAATATTCTGGATACAAGTTTTGTATCAGATAAATGATCCACAAATATTTTTTCAGAGTCTGTGGCTTTTATTTTCTTATTGGTGTCTTCTGAAAAGCAAAACTTTTAATGTTGATAAAAAGTCTAATTTGTTAGTACAGATTGTGCTTTGGGTTTCATATAAAGCAATCTTTGCCTATGTTAAGGTTAAAAAGAAGGCTTATGGTTTTGGTCTCTTACGTAGATTCATTTTGAGTTCCTTTTTGCATATGGTGTGAGGTAGAGGTCTAAGTTTATTTTTATTGCATATGGATATTCAAATGTTACCATTTGTTAAAAAAAACAACAACTACGCTTTCTTCATAATTGCCTTGGAACCTTCATCAAAAATCAGTTGGCCATAAAATATGGGTTTGTTTCTGGACTTGGTATTCTATCCCACTCATCAGTAGGTAGGTCTCTGTATAAGTAAGTCAGTACCACACAGTCTTGATTTTGTAGCTTCCTGGTAATTTGGAAATCAGATAGTATAAATCCTCCAAATTGGTTCTTTTCCCAATTAACTGTAATAACTTTTTTCTGGATTTCTTAGAAATTTATACATATAAGATCATATTTTTTGCTGTAAGGACAGTTGGCTTCTTTCGTTCCGAACTGTATGTCTTTAACTTTTTTTCTCCACTGTCATGCACTGGCTAGAAGTTCTAGGGCATTGTTGAATAGAAGTCCAGAGAATGGACATCTTACCTTTTTCCCAGTCTTAGGGGAAATGTATTCCCCTTCACCACTGAGTATGATGTTAAATTAGAGTTTTCTTGGTTACCTATGAGCAGATTGAGGAACATATCTTCCATGATTACTTTGAGTTTTTAATCATGAGAGGGTGTTAAATTTTGGCTGATGCTTTCTCTACAACTATTGAGGAGATTATGTGCTTTTACTCATTTATTCTTTTACGTTAATTGATTTTCTAATGCTAAATCAACTTTTTTTTTTAATGTTTATTCCCCCTTGAGAGACAGACAGAGCGTGAGAGAAGTAGAGAGAGCGAGACCCAGAATCTGAAGCAGGTTCCAGGCTCTGAGCTGTCAACACAGAGTCTGATGTGGGACTCGAACTCATGGATTAGACCGTGAGATCGTGACCTGAGCTGAAGTCGGATGTTTCACGTACTGCGCCACCCAGGCATCCCAAATCAACCTTCTATATGTTGCTGAATTCAGTTTGCTAATCTTTTGTTAAAGATTTTGGTGTTTATATCCATGAAGAGTATTGGTCTTTAGTTTTTCTTTTGTCTAATGTCTCTGTATGGCTTTGGTAGCAGCGTAAATAGTGGCCTCACTGATAGGGTTGAGAAATGTTCCCTTCTATTTTCTGAAGTTGCATATATAGTATTGGTATTATTTCTTTCTAAAATGCCTGATAGAAGTCACCAGTACAGCCTGGTGAATTGGGTTGTCTGGGCTTTTGGCTTTTTTCTGGGAATATATTTAATTACCAATTCACTTTTCTTTTATAGATCTTTTCTGAATTTATATTTTTCTTCAGTAAATTTAGGTAATTTGTGCCTTTCAAGAAATTTGTTCGTCTGAGTTGTCTATTTATTGACATAGAGTTATTCATAAGATTCCCTTACAATCCTTTAAATTCTTGTAGGGTCTATAACAGTGTCCTTTCTTTCATTCCTGATTTTGGTAATTTGCATCATCCCTCTTCCTGAGCTAATAGTTTATCAGGTTTCTTGATATCAAAGAACCAATTTTTAATTTTATTGGTTTTCTCCATTGTTTTTCTACTTTAGGTTTCATTGTTTTCAGTGTTTCTTCTCTCTTATTTTTCTTTCTAGTTATTTTGGGTTTCATTTTTCTTTCCAGTCTTTTTCTTTCTAGTTATTTTGGGTTTTATTTGCTCTACTTTCTCTACATCCCTGGTGTGTAACCTTAGGTTATTGATTTTAGATCTTTCTTCCTCCTAACATAAGCATTTAAAGCTACGTGATGCTTTCTAAACATTGTGTTAATGGCATATCATAAACTTTGATTTGTTGTGTTTTCATTTGTAGTTTCTTCTTTTACTCACAGGTTATTTTAGGGAGTATAATGTTGAATTTCCAACTATGTGGGGTTTCCCCACATTTCTTTCAGTTGTTGAATTCTAGTCCAATCTGGTTGTGGTCAGGGAACACACTTTTTATGATTTTGATCTGTCTAAATTCAAATATAGACTTGTTCAAACATGTTATATGGCTGCCATGTGGTCTATCCTGGAGATTGTTACTTAAAAGAATGAGTATTTTGCTCTGATTTGGTCAAGTTTCTGAATATGTTATTAGATCCAGTTAATACTGTTGTTCAAGTCTTCTGTATTCTTAGTGGTTTTCTATCCTTCTATTAGTTACTGAGAGGGGAGTATTAGAATTTTCAATTATAACTTAAATTGTCTATTCTCTTCTGTTCAGGATGTACTTCATTTTGGGGGAGGGAGCCTGTGTTCTTAGATGCATGCGTATTTATAGTTGTCACTTCTATATTTTTCCTTTATTGTAATGAGATTTCTTTGTATTTAGTAGTATTTCTTGTTTAAAGTCTATTTCAAGTCTATTTTGTCTGAGATCATTACTCCAGATATCTTATATTTGCTTCTTCCATGGTAAATCTTTTTCCATTCTTTTACTTTTAACCTGTTTGTGTTAAACAGTTAAAGACTGTGTCATTAAAGTGCATTTCTATATATAGCATAGAGTTAGATGTTACTCTTTGATCTGGCTTGATATCTCTGCCTTTTAATTAGTGTTTAGTCATTGAATTTTAATGTAATTGTTGCTGTGATACTGCTATTTTGATACTTGTTTTTCATGTCTCGTGTCTTTTTCTGCCATGTTCTTTCTTTACTGCCTTCTTTTGTGTTCAACAATTCTTTTAGCAAACGATTCTCATTTATTGGTAGGTTTTTGTTTTTTAAACATTTTTTTAAGTTTATTTATTTTGAGGGGGGCAGGACAGGGAGAGTAGGGGAGGGGCAGAGAGAGAGGAAGAGAGAGAATCCCAAGAGGCTTCATGCTGTCAGCACAGAGCCTGCTGCAAGGCTCAATCTCAGAAACCATGAGATCATGACCTGAGCCAAAATCAAGAGCTTAATCAATTCGGTTACTCAGGCGCACCTGTTAGTAGGTTTTTAAAATAAGTTATTTTTTTATGTTATGCACTCCAAAGTCCCAGGACTCAT